CAATGGAAAAACCCTTAAGATAACATGTAGAAAGAAAAAAACATCTTAAGCATGCAGAATAACATAAGTGGACTTTGAACGATTAATTGCCGCTTTGAACGATTACGTAATTGTGGCATCCATAATTGTAATCGCGATTAGAAATTTGATTAATTGTGCAGCCCTACTAAGTACTAAAATAATTACAACTGAAAACTAAAACTTAAAGGCCTGGTTTCTCAAGTCAGGTCTTAGGGTGCTTTCACACCTGGCCTGTTGTTTCGGAACCTGGCGCGTTTCGTAGGTGCATTTTAAAAATGTTTTCCCAATCAATCCTGGACTCCTGCTCAAAATGATAAATTATTATTAACGACAGCTACAAAAAACCCAACAATAAGCCCGCAAAGCTGTTATTGTTCCATTCTGACAGATGACAGCTGTGACCGCTAAGTGGAATCCCGGAAAATAAAGCGTGGAACTTTGACCAATGAGAGAACAGTTTACACGCGCGTGACTTGTATTAACAAATTTGGTCCATTTAGAAACTTTGCCATGTGAAAGCGAACCGCACCAAGTATAAAAAGCAACATTGTAATAATTTTAATCCCTGTTTCGGAACAAAGCAATCGATCTACAGGTGTGAAAGCACCCTTAGACTAAACCAGGTTTAGGCCATAATTCAATTAGGACATTTAAGTATCTTCTATAAACGTTCCTTAGAAAGAAAAAAAAACATTACTGGTGTGCATCTTGAGACAAAACAATGGCACTGATATGCGTTTCTTTCAGTTAAAACAGCTCAGACATGCATTTTAGTCTGGGACTAGGCTTAAGCCTTGTCTGTGAAACCGGGGAAAAAACTATATAGACCTTGAAAAAAAAATTATGAAAACACAAAACAAAATGACTAAAAGAAAATATAAGAAATATATATATATATAATTTTAAAAAAAACTATACTAGTGTATCAATTGTTAGAGCCATAAATTACATGAAGAATTTTGTAAGATGTATCTTTATCTTATGAGTGATTTTGTTTTTGAAATATGTATATTTTGTGTTATTTGTATTGTATCACGTGACTCTGGCTAGTTTTATACATGATACATGTGTAACAATTTGAAGACGAATAAAGAAGAAGAACCACCGAGGGAAAAGCTATCATTCATGTTTTTGGAACTTGATGAAGTGTAAAATAGTTTTTGAGTTCGATTTCTTTTATAATGTAACTTGACAAAAAGTAAACTTTTACACTACAAGTTATGGATTCACATGTCAGATCCTTTGTGGAAATAGAACGGAAAAAGGATCAGTATCATTACATCAATTATGCTACAATTACACTGATTGTGAACGAAGCTATGGGAAAACGAGATGATAGAGATGAGAGAGATGATAAATGGATGTAGTCATGGATGGACGCATGCAAACTGGAAAGAGATTAAAAGAGAGCGAGACTGATGATAAGAATGCAAATGAAACATTTCTTTATCTCAAACTATCACGCAGTGAATCACAAAAGCCAGTCTGGTCTGGATGGGCGGCACAAAGCCAGTCTACTCAGCCTCCACATAATGACTGTCGCCTTTTTAGTCCGTCCCTGTTCCTGCAGTCCGGCTGATTTCCCAGGAACCCGTTTTATCGAAGTCCTGGAGACAGGCTGTCATTTAAGGGCCGTTGCTCTTTTCTTCTCATTGTTGTGATTGCAGCAGCTCTTTTCAAAGAGTTCAGGAAGTCTAAAACACAATATGACTGAATCACCCTGCCAGCCGTCTGATCGCTGCCAACGTTTCTTTAAGATTCCAGTTTGAATGTTAACATCTCTAGAGATGTGCATTGCAATATGAAGATAATCTTCTCAAGGGACCTTGAAATGCTAGTAGCCATGCTGTTCCTGGTTTCATCTGAAGTGCGGCGGGGTGTTTTGTACCTTATGTAAGAATAAAATCTCTATTTATTGCCACACAACCAGCTCCGTTAGGATTTGTAGTGACGGTCATGCAGTGTCACCAGAGAAACCCTGCAGCAACAATTCCTCTTGGAGCAACCTGGATGTAAGAGTCTTGATTAAGAGCACAACATTGACAAGTTGTTCATGTGAGGATCAAACCAGCCACCAGTTACAGTACTAAACCACTATACCACACCACCCATGTTTTTCCATCAGATGCCACAATGTGGGCCAGGTTTACTAAACGACAAATTAATGTGAGAGCACAATGCCATAAACGCGCCGATGGGAGTGGAAAGTTCTGCTGCTGACAATGCGCACATTACACAGATGCAGCCTGATCACATCCATAATGAGCACCGTAATCTACCAATGGCAATGGGTTACAGAGTGTTTTTTTTGGGGCGTTAAATAATGGCTAAGATACTAGTAAATTTACTACCCCAAACCTTAGTAAATAACTTTGTATGATTCATTTAATTCAGGGGTATCACACATACAGCCCGCAGGCTGAATGCGGCTCACAGGTGTCCAATCCGGCCTGTGGGATGATTTGAACAAAAATATAAAATAATAATTAATACATTATTTTGAAAATTAAATAAAGTATATTCGCTACAATATTTTATTTTTAACAAACAAATTGCAATTTTTTTTGTGTGTTGATATTACGCCTCGGGACACTTAACACACATGCACGTTATAAATTTGACTTGTAAGGACAGATATTTAAGGAGAAATGCAAAGAAAGATATTTTGTAAGGTCATCTTACAGAAACTGACCGTTTAATCACAACCCGTGGCTGTGGTAAAAGTGCAATATTAAACGACACTATGAGAGGCACTGGGCAGTTTAGGATTGAAAAGTAAGCAAGCTAGGGGTGTGCGATATTTATCATCTACTATAATAGCATAATTGTTATTTAAGAATGTGCGAGCTGACATTATGTGACTCACTTTGCAAAAAAACTAACAAAAACACGTCTTGAGAGTCTTTCATTGGGGGTTGAAGGCTATTAGAATGCAGTTATAATAGTGAAACTATTATGGAGTATTATGAAGATACAAGATATGGAGGCAAAAAATGTAAGAGATTTTATATTTATGGCATGATAGTTAAGTAATATCACACGAGCAAGAGTGTTGTTTTCCAGAATATCAGCACCATCGCAAATGAATGGATTTTATGCAACAGTTCAACAAACAAGATGTTAGTATTAAGTGAGTTTCTAAATGAATCAGCCATTTTGAACGAATCATTTGAATGAATGAGTCAATGAATCACGCATTAAGACGGGGACTTGCCGCCACCTATTGGCGGTGTTAGTTTCATATTTATTTGTAAATTACATGCTTAAACCAAATAAGGTACTATCTCAGAAACACACATGGCAAAACATGGTATAATTAATTATTGCAAAATATGGTGTAATTATACAAATTTAGTTTTTTTCAATATTGCACACCTCTAAAATTAACCTAGCATCATCTTTGGGGGAAAAAAAATAAAATAAAAAATAAACTTTTCCTAGTTTTCTTGTAAATTATATTGTAGTTTGGTTAAAATCAATGTAATTGTAACAAAAGTAATTCGGCCCGCACAAGGTGACATTTTCTCAGATCCGACCCCTCAACCTTTTCATCACTAATGTTTCACTGTGTGACTTTAGTAAATCCTGCCAGTAGTTTTTTTTTTTTTTTTAACACCAAAAGAGGGTTTGAGCTGTTGCAAGCTGTTAGTAAATCTGGAGATTTGCTAAATTCACTAAATTCAGCAAGGTTTATATTTAAAACGAGAACGAATAATAAACTTGAATATGAACTTTAAATGTCAAAGATTTTAAGATATATTTGCATAGTCCATAAGTATATAATGTATAGTCTAAGTGTATAGTGCAGGGGTGGCGAACGTCGGTCCTGGAGAGCCGCAGCCCTGCAGAGTTTTGCTTCAACCCTAATCAAACACACCTGAACAAGCTAATCAAGGTCTGAACGGTTAATAGGAAGCTACAGGCAGGTGCGTTTTCATTGGGGTTGGAGCTGAACTCTGCAGGGCTGCGGCTCTCCAGGACCGGAGTTCGCCACCCCTGGTATAGTGCATCATTTGGGACGCAGTTTTATTGTTTTTTGCATTGTAAAGGAGTGATCTGCATTGCTCTCTTTTAGATCCATTTTGATGGCTGGACAGATGAATATGATTACTGGATCGATGCAGACAGCCCAGATATTCATCCTGCCGGGTGGTGCGCCAAAACCGGACACCCACTGCAGCCGCCCATCAGTGAGTACAGACAGATATCACACAACCAGTGTCCTTCCCGCGGCAGTCATTAGCTAATAGCACACGGCGTGCGCGATGGAACAGCTGTTACAAATCTTAAGCAGCAACACTTGAGGCCTGAAGAAGACACTTGGCTTTGGCCAGATTTTAAGACAGCATCACATGTCCATGTTATGGATAAAACAGGCAATGCACAAAGAAAGAATATTTTATTTAGTACTGCAAATATCAATGAAATATCTGTATATACTTAAAATGGACGATTTGTTTTATATACCTATTTAATATTGTGCAACACGCTAACACTATTTAATTCATTTAATATGTTCCAAATATTTTTCTGTGCGACCAAACAAGAAACTGACTAAGATTAGATTTTTTAGGTATGTATAATGCAGAGCAAATATGTTTACGCAGTTGTCTTTACACTAGGGTTTTTTGTTTTGTTTTGTTTTGAGAGAGAGAGAAAGTACTCACTGCTTTTATAATTATTCAGATAATCCCAAGCCTAAATGTTGAGTTAATGGCCACTCTAACAGCGTTCTGTATCATCTGTAAATAGACTGCCTCAGACCCTCTAAATGACAGCCATTTTCCTCGTCATTTCATGGAAAATTGTAGCCGGTAGAGAGAGAAGGAATAATGTGGGTATAAAAGAGGGATGAAGTGTCTAACAGTCCTCTCTCTTCCTCTCATGTCAGTATCTTCTATTAGCTCCAGAGGATGCTGGGAAAATACTGTTGAACAATGAGCTTTTCTCCAGTCAGTCTTGCTGATAATCTTCTTCTCGTTCTCGTTCCCTTCCTCTGTGTCCATGGAAACGGATCGGATAGCAATGTTTAGAAATCAGCAACTGGCATCAGGATGTGACCGACTTACTGAGAGAGAGAGAGAGAAACAAAACAAGTGTGAGAAAAGAGAGAGAAACCAGGGAAAGAGAATATATCCATCTGAGTCTGTATATCTTTATATATGAATCTGTATCTGAGTCTATATATACACTCTCTATATAAATCTTCTATATGTACTCTATTAATATTAAAGCACTCACGCTCTTCACTGACACAGTTGTAGAAATGACACCACAACTGGGGGACAACCATAATTAAAAATAAACATAAAAATGTATGCAAATCATTTCACACAAAAAATATTGTAAAGAATTCTATTTTATTCTTTGTTTGGATTGTTTTTTTTATTTTTATAATGGACTGATATGTTCATTGAAGATTAGAAAGTGTCAACACTTTAAAGGGTAAAACGATTAAATCTAAAGCAAAAAAAGTAGGAAATGTAAATGATGGAAACAAAATAATAATATGACAACGAAAAGAACACATTCTAAATCTGTAAGTTAATTTGAAGAAAAATCAACCCCTGGGACATAAGAGTGTCCAAAGCTGAAGAAACACGCATATGTGCAAATTACATTTGATTTGATTATATTTTGTCTTGGTGAAACTCGTGTATGTGTAATCACTTATCAAAAACAGTCATTGAAAACTCAAGTGTGTAAGCTGATATTGTGGTTTCCAGAGTGAGGATGACGTGTAATGTGTGATGTGTTTCTGTGTGTGTCTTCAAAGCTCCTCAGGACGTGTTTGAGACGTCTGAGCAGAGCGGCTGTCCTACACCAGGCTGTAAAGGAGTGGGTCACATCAAAGGAGCCCGCTACTCTGGACACCACAGGTCAGTGTGAATGTGTGTGAATAAAAAAAACTACAAATATACATATACATATATGTATGTATATTCTATTTTTAAAAAATTAACTAATTAATCACACATTTTTCTGTAATTAATGTTGATTAATTGCATATTGATATAATGTATTTGTATTGTCATCATTTCATATTGAATCTCCAAATTAATGTAGAAACAACATAAAGATGGTATATTTGAAATGTGTTTAATGGCATCTGTTTACTAAGTAGCCTATCTAGCTTAATCTTTATTCAAGCTACAAAAGTGAGTCAGCGAGCAGAGCAGTGAGTGATTTCTCTTTTTCATCAATGACAGACTGCAGCAGGTTTCACTTTAAAAGCAGCGCTGTCTCTTTAAAACCTGACGTACGTGAGTGGATCTGACACACATCCGAATTTCTCCCAGTTCATTTAGGACTTTTTAACCAATTTAAGACTGTGTTTATGAGGTCACTGGCCAAAAACAAGCATTTTGACATGTTTTTATCCATAGAATCATGCTATTGCTGATGTATTTCACAACTCATTTTTGATCTCATTTCCCATCTCCTTGACATGCTGCATTAAATTTGTATATGTGCCATTTTGTGTTGGTGCTTTGGAAACAAAACAAAATTTACAAAAAAACAAAACAAGTGAAGAAAGCTTCGGTATCTGTGCTTTTCTCCGTCTTCTGCATAATCGATACCTTGCAACAGCTGCCACTCTGATGACACTAACATACGGTGGTTTGGAACCAAAAAACAAAGCGTGAACACAATCCAGCAGAGGAGGGGAATCAGTCGAACTCGGGTTCGAACATGCACTTTTTAAGAGTTAAATAATTATTTGATGCTGTAATGTATGTACTATTGGGTAGTAGGGGTGCAATGGTTCAACTTCCTCACGGTTCGGTTTGTATCACGGTTTTAGAGTCACGGTTTCAGTACAGTTCGGTATGTGCTATGTTTATGGAAAACTATATTGTCAAATGAAAATAAGAACAAATAATCTAACTACAAGTAATGGCACAAATAAATAAACAGTGAAAAAAGATACAAATAAAATAAACAGTGCTTTTCAGTTTTTTTAGGTAGGTCTAACATAGTTTTTAGGTACAGAAATTGAATAAAGTAATCAAATGTAAAATAACATTGCATATTTGACTGTATAAATTAAAGATTAATCCTTATTAAAGTTACAAAAGTTATTCAATCAAGAGCAGTGAGAGATTTCCGTGTTGTTGCTGTTTGATTAACATTAAGAAAGTGCTGTCACTTTAAGAGATCGCACTGATACTGTACGTTCAGCCGGCTATGTCTGCTAGGATACTCACCAAGACGGGCATTTTGACATAATTTTTGTGTGAATTTGTCCATTCAAGCACAATACTTCACAGAGAGCTTAATATCTGCGGTTCGATTTTTTACCGAGAACTGTTGCACCCCTATTGGGTAGGGCTGGGTGATATAGCTAAAAAATTTATCACGATACAATGTTTCATATCATTCAATACCGATAATTATTGAATTTGTTTATAACCTTTTTTAAACAGCAGTAGAATTTTTTTATTTATTTGACCACTGTACTTTTAATTTACCCAATTTATTGAGTCAACAACTAATTTTAGTTTTAACAGTCAAACACAAAATAAAATTGAAACAAATATCTCCTTTCTTATTTTTATCTGCAGATTAAATAAGTGTAAAGGAAACATTTGGCCTGTCTCCTGAGGCCACAGGAGGGCGCAATGAGCAAAATAATGCATCTCATTAAACTGTTTATTCAATGCAATGAAACAACGACTGTCTATAAAAAAGTGCATAACGTCTAAACTAATATTTATAAATCAATTATGATTTCGTAAATTGTATAAACAATAATAAACAAAACAGCATCATGTATTTATGAATAGCTTAAAGGTGGGGTAAGCGGTTTTTCAAAAACGCTTTAGAAAACTGATTCGGGCCGACTAGCAAAACAAACTTGTAGCCAATCAGCAGTAAGGGGCGTGTCTACTCATGATGTGGAGGAGAGAGCGTTCAGTGCACAGGACGGACATTAGCGAGCCGAGCGACAGAAAAATAGGGATGAAAATAAGAAAACGTCTGCGGAACAAAAGAAGGTTTACGGCAATAAGGCAAGAAGGTTTTGCTTTGTTTCACAGAACTAATCGTTGCCTGGGTTGCGTACGTATGTGTGGGGCGGAGCTATCAAAATAGGGGCGAGACCCTTTTGGGGTAGGGCCGTGTTTGTTTTGGTGATTTCAAATGTCAACATTGGCTACCAGAAATCGCTTACCCCACCTTTAATACAAATAGCCAATGCGCCGATCACACGATTGCATTTAAAAACATATGAGATGCAGTGGAATGGAATAAAACCCCCTCAAATTCTCCAGACATTTTTTCTAAAAGTTGAACCTCTTTTAACTTTGCATGGCTTTCTATTCAACTCTTGTGCGAGACGCGAGTGCAACAGTCATAGTTGTGTGTCTTAAAAATGTGCCGAATATGCGTTCTGTGTGAATGGCTTGGTTTGGGTTTTAACCTGACCAGTATCTTCTCCGCATTGAGCTTCTATATTTTGAATGGAAAATGCAGCAGCGGCACATCTTGTGTGTTCAACTGGATAAACTATCAAAAACATTAAAATGCAACACTGACACTTGCATCATCATCATCTCGTGCGCCGCTGATAAGGCTCCCTGACGCACACCTAAAATTCAAATACACCGTTTTTTCATTTGAATGCGAATTTTTATTTTAAATTCGACTAATATTCCTTTTTTTGATTCACAGTCTCCTCATCGCAGGCAGGCACGGCGCTCACTTCAGCATGTGTTTGTATGTTCTGTTGGCTCTCTGCTTGTCACTCATAATGGGCCTTTAAATGAAAAAAGCACAAAACTATCGTGTGCTATATCGAAAACTTTTTTCTATCGTTATCGAGGATGGTGTACCGTCGATAAATATCGATACTGTTTTATCACCCAGGCCTACTATTGGGTATCATAGTTTTGAGATAAGCCTGCACTCCAGTGGTGACCCATATAGTGAGAATCAAGCTGAGTTAAAGTTCAGTAAAAATAATGTGAGTTGCTCAGCAGACAATTGTGTCGCTTTATCATTCATCTGCCAGCATACACAACAAATGCTTTAAAGGGATGTTCTGGTTTCAATTCAAGATTTATGGCTGCAGTCTGTGATGTGCTTTCAATAACAGAAAATAATTTCAACTCATCGCACTGAAAAATCATGTGTACAGTAATGCACTTACATTGGTGTGAATGCTTTGTTAGAAGTCTTCCCTGCTCAAGCAACTTAATAAATGTGCTTTAAAGAGATAGCTCGCCCAAACATAACATTTCTGTCGTTATTTACTCATGTTGATCCAAACCCATTAGACACAAATGAAGGTATTTTTAATATTCTCTCATCATTTTGGTACCCCATAATTGTATTATAAATTCTAAACCATATAAATGGAGTGGTTTAATTCAAGTCTTCTGAAGAGACACGATTGCTTTATATGATGAACAGATTTAATTTAGGCTTTTATTCACATATAAAGATTTATCAGCACGCATACATAGAGCGCATCAAATATGGTAAACGAAAGCTCAAATGTGCTTGTGTGACAGGTTCTCGTGTGTCAAGTAAGCATGTGAGAAAAGCCCTGAATTAGGGCTGGGTGATAAAAAGAAATCATATTGAGTCGCATTAAAATTTATGTCGATATCGATGATAACCTCTGGACATTTTTACTCGATATGGATTAATCTAACAGCAGAAATAAATGCAACAACAGCCTGTCAGTGCTTGTGGCTAATAGGCTAACTCTGCATGTTCTGTGTGTCTCTGTGTTAATGAATGGATCTGTTTCATATGATACACAAACTCAAACACACGTGACGCACGCTGTGATTTTGGCATCTACGTCTTAATATATGAGACATGAACATGAACTTCATCTCCAGAGCTGCTCTGAGAGTCACTTCACCAGCTTCACAGCATTTACTTTGAGAAAAAACGACCATCAAATACACACTGAAACTGAAAGATCTTCACAGCAACCCGTCAAAAAGTCGGGTTTAACTTGAACAAATTATGACAGAAATATATTACTATTGTATACTAAAATGTAATTCTCAAGTAATAATAATAATAATTTATTATTATTATTATTAATTGTTATTTTAAATATATTAAATAGTAAAAGTATTAATTGTTATACAGTACTGTTGTGCAGCATCTTATTTGACAAAAAAATATTAATATAATTGGCCATATCGCCCGGCCTACCCTTTACTTATAGTTAGTAGAATGTCTAAAGTGGACTATCGAAATAAAGTGTAACCTAAAAAGGCAGTGTTTTGTTGTAAATTAATTGTTTGCATTTCATCACATTTTAAAAGATTGATTAAATTGTTACAGTTTTATTAATTCATTTAATTATAGTCCATTTTAATGATAAATTTGTATTGCATCATAAAACACAGAATCCAGGAAAAAAATAAAAATAAAAGAGAAAACAGAATTTAGGGGTAAATAAAACATGGGGATTTCATGGGGCCATATATTAAAAGGCAGTTCTGTGGAGTTTCATTGTGGGGATATGGTTTACCAGCACAGGCTAACCAGACTAATGATCACTGGTCTTTCTGCTCCAACACTATGACTCAAGACCAGTTCTCAGAGCACAGCGATCAGCCTGAGGAAAGGTGTTGCACATCTGTTCTCTGATGTTTCTATTTTTACAGTCAGTCTGAGAAAAATTGCAAGAAAACCCATACTGATCAAAACTCATATGGAAAATACTAATATTGTCTTAAATTCTTTCTAACCATTCAAACAGTCAAGCTTTTATTTTGGCAGAATACTAATGAGATGCTGTAACCATTTAGAAGTTTATGCAATGTTGCAAATTATGCGAATGTTTAAATAAAGTAAGCCTTAGCGCAAATGTTAAAGTCGCAGCACGTGCAAAAATATAGTTGACCGCATTTTTTTTTTTCGTAAACCTAGCTGATAAAAGCATCAGATCATCACAGTGCTGCGCTTCACTCTGAGACGCAGTGCAGCAGACTGTACAGTTATTTGATTAAATCACAGTCTTTGATTTGATAATCACACTGAGCTATATCGCGATTATCGCACAGCCTCATTTATTTTCATTTGACACTTGATATAATTAATAACTAAATTTTCATCTGGAAACACTGCCCTGAGCAATACACAGAATAAACGACAGCTAGTACATGCATAATTTAATGCCATGACTTTATGAATTTAAGACTTCTGCTCCGATTTAAGATCATTTTAGGCCTTAATTTGTGGAAGTATGAATCAAGACTTTAAGACCCATGACTTGATAAGATACAAAGCAGCTACTGAGCTACAATGATAGTTGTTATGTCTGTAAAATGACCCGTGTTTTCTGGTGTTTCAGTGCTGTGGGTTGCCCGTATTCTGACATCAACCTAAATAAGGACTCGGTTCTGCCGGATCGCTTGAGCGGAGAGATGCCGGGAAGCGGAGTGGGCCGGCCGCGCAGAGCAGAACCAAACACAGAGATTTCAGCTGACGCTAATGAGTGAGTGTTCATTTCTCTGATGGGGTCTGCTGAAATATTTAAAATGCTCCTATATGATGGAAAACCCCTTAAATAACAGTTTGATGTACAGTACTGTGTGGCATGCAACTCCCACTCCAGCCCACCCAAACTGCAGAACTGACTGGGAAATATTAGCGATTATCACACCATGACTGCGTGATGTTGAGACCCATCTTAAGTGACTCATACGCAATTGTTACAAAAGCTGCAAACATTCATCGATGTTCAAGAAGATAATGTAATGCATCAAGAGCCGGGGGTGTAAACTTTCATCTTTTATATTTGTGTCAATTCTGCAAGAGGTTCATAAACTGGGAATACTATGCACATTTATGGTACACTATGCAAATTTATGCATCTAACTGAATATGATTGCCCACATTAACACATCTATACCTGTTCAGTCTGAGTTCGTTTACATTGTTTTAAAGGTACAGTAGCAAAGACGGCCGTTTCATTCTAGTCTACAGCAGACGTGAGTGGCATTTTGCGATGCATTAAAACTAAATGACTTACGTTATAATTAATGAAGCTGTCTACACTCTTCAGCTGCACCTTCAGTTGACAATTTAAATAAATGTCTTATTCATTACCTCAAAGTAGGCTCATGATGTTTCTGACCTACTAATCTGAGTGGCTCTTTATGTTGCTAACCGTGTCCAAGCCCGATTCTGAGACTTCAGCTTGAGTGTCACTCCAATCTGAACAGATTTTAAAACACTAGCCATCATAGACTTGCTGACTTTGTAAATGGTTACAGAGAAAAAATTGGGCACCATGCACTAAATGACTGAAGATCACACACTACCTAGTTTCATGTTGCCAGATTTTTGACTGACGGCATGCAGTTTGGTCCCTGTAGCCGCTTCAGCTGACCAAGAAGCGCCAGTTAGGTGAGAAGAGGTCGTTTGAATGACATGTAAAGCAACCAATAACAGTTGACATGCTTATACAATAACAAACCGGTGCGCAACCATACTGTACATCATCCATTCAAGGTCGGCTCGAAAGTTAAAGCAAATTATGATGCAACAATCTGCATTACAAACACATAAGAAAATAGTTGGTGATGTCTGTAAAGTTTGTTCTCGGAATCTTAATTCATCTAAAACAAATAAGCACTGATTATTTCAATGGTCTGCTCTGTGTCAACAGCTATTCCAATCAGTTATTTTTCCAATCACTCTTTAGTGCCCAAAAGCAATTCAGGTGATCCGAATACATTATTAATTCAGCTGCTTGTGATGTCAGCACCTGTACATTCATATTTCTGTTATATTTCCATTTCCCATATCTCATAGGCAAACACACAAAAACACATTCAGCTAAGTGCCTCAAACAAAACTGTTGAATATCTTTAAATGTTTCTAAACCTCCTAAACCCTCCTCATTTTATTTTATTTTAGTTTTTTTTTTTTTTTAGTTTTTGAAGTTCACCTACATTTAGAAGTCATTACAATTTTGGTGCAAGAAACTTGAATAGCAAATAGTGGACACAAAAGGAAAATTAGACACAAGTGTACAACATGGCCACTTTTATAATTGTAATCTGGAATTTGAATTGGTATATTTATTTATTTTAAGGTGAGCTCAGTAAAGAGTAACGCTTGCTCTTGTAAATAAATTAGCATATTTGCACTTGATTTGCTTATCATATCCTGTCAGGCCCTGAACAGCACACCTGTGCTGTTTGAGATCAAACTGAGGACTTTGTCACGTCTGGCCTCTTTCACACCTTCAGTGAAGTGTTCATTTATCACTGTCTCTCCTCTGTTTCTCTAGCAAACCCGTCACCTCTGTCCCATCACATCCGGATAAACCCAGCACAGCAGCCGCTGCCATGGAAACGCCGGTGAAGAAGCCCGTCGGCACGGAGACCAAGCGAAGGTTAGGTTCAGTCACTCTCTTGGTGATTGATTTGGCATAAACAGTTAACTTTTATATTGCTATTCTCATTAATGTAATAAAGTGAATTTTATTAACTCTTTCCCCACCAGCGTTTTATTTTTTATTTTTTAAGTTGCCAGCCACCGCCAGCATTTTTGATCATTTTCATGGCCCCCAGAATATTTAGTTGTATGAATATCTGAACATGCAATATGTTAATAAAAAAGAACGGAGCCTCTGCTTTTAAACAACAAATCTGTTTTATTCTAGTTTCATGCAATCTTCTGTTATCAGCACTTGAATGTGGGTAAGTTTCATAAAAAAAGCAACACTTTGATCAAAAAGCTGAGAAAGGGACGTTTTCGTCAAAGACTACGTCCAGATGAGATTTAGTACGATGATCAAAAGCTGGAGTAGATCACTTCCATCAACACCCCCAAAGCTTCACAGTCCTAAAACACTTCCTGCTTCGACATTTCATCCGCTAACATTAATTGTAATCTGGAATTTGAATTGGTATATTTATTTATTTTAAGGTGAGCTCAGTAAAGAGTAACGCTTGCTCTTGTAAATAAATTAGCATATTTGCACTTGATTTGCTTATCATATCCTGTCAGGCCCTGAACAGCACACCTGTGCTGTTTGAGATCAAACTGAGGACTTTGTCACGTCTGGCCTCTTTCACACCTTCAGTGAAGTGTTCATTTATCACTGTCTCTCCTCTGTTTCTCTAGCAAACCCGTCACCTCTGTCCCATCACATCCGGATAAACCCAGCACAGCAGCCGCTGCCATGGAAACGCCGGTGAAGAAGCCCGTCGGCACGGAGACCAAGCGAAGGTTAGGTTCAGTCACTCTCTTGGTGATTGATTTGGCATAAACAGTTAACTTTTATATTGCTATTCTCATTAATGTAATAAAGTGAATTTTATTAACTCTTTCCCCACCAGCGTTTTATTTTTTATTTTTTAAGTTGCCAGCCACCGCCAGCATTTTTGATCATTTTCATGGCCCCCAGAATATTTAGTTGTATGAATATCTGAACATGCAATATGTAAAAAAAAAAAAGAACGGAGCCTCTGCTTTTAAACAACAAATCTGTTTTCAACACTTGAATGTGGGTAAGTTTCATAAAAAAAAGCAACATTTTGATCAAAAAGCTGAGAAAGTGACGTTTTCGTCAAAGACTACGTCCAGATGGGATTTAGTACGATGATCAAAAGCTGGAGTAGATCACTTCCATCAACACCCCCAAAGCTTCACAGTCCTAAAACACTTCCTACTTCGACATTTCATCTGCTAACATTAGGCAGTTATGATTTATATGTTGTTTAATGCGTGATGATTGTGTTATTTTACATATGCATCTCCTTGCATACACAATCACTTGTTCTTCTTCGCCATATTTGATCCAGAGATTCAGTACTCTTTCAGAAGATGTGTAATAGGGCCTCATTCTTGATATTATTCTCCATATTATATCCATAATGGAAAAAAACACAGAAATCCAGAAAATTCTGTCAATGGTGGGGAAAGAGTTAAGTACAAAAAAAAAACCCGTGATGATTTTACAATTTAAATAATATAAGAAAAAGTAATTATGTATTATGGTGATGAGAATTAAATTGTTTCACATTGCAGTAATGAGAATGTCAGGGGAAAATATGTTGAATTGCAATAAAACATCCTAACAAAGACTTAATAGTCTATGCAAAAAAAAAAAACGTGTCTGGACAGATTCACACTGCTGACACACGCCGATGGACACAAACAGCTGTCCTTGACACTTTCTAACAGGCTGATTCATTGTTAAAATCATCCTTCTCAGTTGTGCTGTTGACATAATGACCTGTTAGTCAACAAGCTTTATTTTCACCCAAACATGTTGCTGGAAACTGTTGCGATGACTTGCGCAAAGGAAGGTCCGTGCCATCGCTCACTGTGTCATGACAGAGATGCTTTAAACAAGATCTCTGAAGATACACCTTAATTCCTTCTGAGATTGCATTTCTCCAGTTGAGCTGTTAACAAATAGCTTACTTTTGACATTTTTCTGCTTACTTTTCAGAAAGGATTTGCATAATGAGCTTTATATTACACAAGAAATCTATACAAAATCATACCTCGGCTAGAAATACTTGTTAGGAATTTTGTGCAAAACACGCAGATCAGCGCACGCAGAATAGATGATCCTGATATGAGCTACAGTAGTCTTCCCAGATACACTATGTAGTAAGCTATTCAAAGCCGCGGCTGTGTTCGAAATGGAACACTAGCTTGCTGCATACTGCTCAATATATGCTTTATACCATCTACATAATCTGATGTCACATGACTTTTCCATGTTGCATTGTTTAATTCGTTGAGTGGTGTCCAGTTTTCATCTCAGAAATAAAAACAGCTGTTCTCACATGCAGTACTGGGGTGTTGTAGTAAATTTGTAGTGTGCAAACTATATGCCCTACACAGGGGCGCCATGAAGAGTTTTAAGGGGGGTATGCCAGACAGAAATTTGGGTCCCCTTCTTCCAGATGAATGTTTTTTTTCTTTTGACGCTTAATCAGAAATTTAATATATATACATGCAGGGCTCAACGCTAAGGATTTTTTCTACTGGCCCGGTCAGGCTAGTAGTTCAAATTTGTTCTTGCCCTGCCAATATATTCACAGGCACTACCACAAGTTCTTGTTATCATTGTTTTTGACCCATGTTATCTTGTATTCTAGTAAATAAGCTTATATGACACCAACATTTTAGATTCCAGTTACATTTTACAATTCTCAATTCAAATTTTAATTCCTACACTAAGCCTAACAAAGCAACTAAGCCTAAACCTAACTTGTGAACAGTCAGTAAATAAGAACAAGTGAAGAAATTACAAGCAATAGCACAAATAAATAAATAGAACAAAAATACAAAATAAAGATGCTTTGGGTTTTTAGATTTGTAGTCGTTCAAGTACAGAAACTGAATAATCAAATATAAAATAACATTGCATATTCTTCACTGTATAAATTAAACATAGATTAATCATTGTAAAGTTATTCAGTTAAGAGCAGTAAGTGATTTTCTCAATTTTAATTAATCAATTATTTAATTAAATTTTTTTTTTTTTTAATTAAAATTAAGGACACTGACAGCAGCTGGTAAATTAGGCGCGGTCTCTTTAAACACAATTCATGGGTCTAACATCTTGATACACATCTGATTTCTTTTACAACTAAGTTCACTTAATACATAACCGACTGTTTTCGAGGATATTGGCAAGACGGGTGTGTTGGCATACTTTTGTATCATGTATTTGTCCGTTCAAGCGCAAGAAGATGCGGAAAGAAACTCCATTCGGGGCTTGCGCGATGTCAGAGTCACGGCTTTTTGTGTGCGCGCTGTGCACACAACACACTGAATGGAGTTGTTATTTGCCTCTTCTTGCGCTTGAAACGTTAAAATCTTTTGAATGTTCAAATTGGCAAGGTGTATTTGTCTGTTAAAGCGCAAGACGACGCGCTTTAAAAAAAAAATCCAAAGTGGTGATTTGGGGCCCCCCCTAGCTTCCTGGGCCCATATGCCTGGCATATTCGGCACTAGGGCTGCACGATTAATCGAATGCGATTGTCATGCGCATTTTGATAGTAATGCCGGTTCTGTAATCAGCAGGAAATCATCATCAGCTGCTTTCAGATGGAGCAGCATTTACTACACATAGCCGTAGTTCACTGACAAGTTACGCAAAAAAATCGCAGACGATTTTATTGCGCGATTATGAAATCAGAGAAATCGTTCGCGATAATGACAGCTGTTTGCATAGCTTCTCAGTGAACTACGGCTCTGTGAAGTAAATGCTGCTCCATCTGCAAGCATGTGAAAATACCACATTTAATAACATATTTTTTACTCCAAACTCACTTCATAACATCAGTTGAGTGTTTGAAATAAATCCTTCTGTGAGATGATGTGGCTTCTTACAGAGAATAAGGCACGCAACATATTTCATAGTATTCTAAGCGGTGATAAAGGCTATGTCGATTAGCATTGCATTATTATATACTTTATTATAATAAAAATTATAATAAGACGAACTCAGATAAACCATATATTGTCTTAGTCGTGTGTTTATTAGTCACGTTGAATCAATGAAAGCCGTTGAATCTTCTGTTTATTCAGCTGCAGCGATAGGCATTTTCTGGGTTACTTTTGCGAGGCGTATTTGGAGTTTCAGCGCGAGAGCGCCCTCTGGCCTTCGGATGGAGATTTACTGCTGATCACAGAACCGTGCTTCACTGAAAGATACGCATGACAATCACCGCTTCTGTCGAATCGCGATCTCGATTCCATTTCGATTTATCGTGCAGCCCTACTCGGCACCCCCCGTAACGGCGCCCCTGGCCCTGCATAAAGCATTGTTAGAGTAGTATTGGTAGTATGCTATTCTGAACACAGCCACTGTCACATATCCCATCTGCCTGTGTGTCGCACTCTGATGATGTCACGATCACCTGATGATATTCTCTCTCAGGGTTGGTCGGCCCTGTAAAGTCCGGAAAGTCGAGGAGCTGCCGCAGGAAGAGGAACTGGAGAGTGAGGTGTCGTCAGTCACCGAAACCAAAGGTAGATCTACACCACCCTCACTGTATGTTCATATTACATTTGCATGTCATTTGGTGGACGTCAGTATTGAGCCTTGAAATGAAAACACAAATTACAATCCTGTTTGACCGAATTAGAATCAGAATGAGATTTATTGCCAAGAATGTTTGCACACACAAGAAATGAATCCTTGTGACAGAAGAAGCTTCAGCAACTGCAGTAAACAACATCACACTGATAGTAAAAGACAAGTGAATAAAGAGACATTTTCCCAGAGAGGGGGAAAAAAATAAAAAAAAGATAAATGTGCAGTGTCATTTAAAGTGGTTTTAATAAATGTGGTGATAGTTACTCTAATGACAAATGTAATAAAAGTATTATAATAAAAGTAAGAGAAATAATGGTTTAAGTTTAAAACATGAAAAACTACTTGCCAATTAGGAAAAACTAAATTCAACATGTAACCAAAATACACAATCTTGCTTCTGTTTTAAAGACATTTCCTGTGTAATAATATCAAGAAGGGGGCAAACAGGTTTCATATACGAACATACATTAAGTTTAAGTACTGCATTGAAAAAGTGGTAAACTCGAAATTATAAGATCTAAATTAACTGGTTTCATTCAAGTCAGAAATATTATTTCACATCACTGAATCTACCTAAATACATCTATAGAAACAAAACTCATTTTTACGAATTCACGGTAACCGCTGCTGGTTACCACTTTGTACAGTGTGTGAAGAACACCCTCAGAATCAGTGTCTGAAGCATGAGAAACTCAATGTTGTGATTCACAGATGAGCTGAAATCATTTCAGTTTATCACAGCTGCTCTATTTCTTTCTGTGATGACTCACTCCTTCTCTATTTCTGCCTTCCTGTTTCTTGCTGGGGTTGAGTCTCTTTCCAGAAGAATTGGTCTGTCCTTCTTCCTCTGTGGCTGGTTATCTAAAGGTTTAGTGGCAGTCACTAATGAGGAAGAGGGTTGGATTCAAACCGTAAGTTCTTTGTTCCTCAGCTTTAAAAGCTTTTTAACTTGCTCCGGTCACGCGTCAAAGGCAGTCTGAGAATAAAAGATGTAAGAAACTCAGCTTCTGTACTTGGATGCATTGTGGGCGTCGCGAGTGGTAATCTACTGGGGCTCGAGCCATGGATAATTGTTATTTAAGAAAAAAATGATGAGGACGTTGAAGATCTCAATGGAAAAGAAGTTTATTGCAGCATAGCAGTGACAAAGTAGTAGATTTTATCTAGCAATGTTTTTTTTTGCATTTATTCATTTATCAGGTGCTTTTATTTCCAGTGACTTGCAAATAAGGAATACAACATAAGCGTTTCATCCTGAGGAGGCAGTAATAGAGTAGTGCTGCAATACAAAGTTTTTTTTTTTTATATTCATAAAGAGAAGAGAGGTGAAATGTGCATTGGGCTCATTAAAGACCAAAAGCACTGCTGCATTTTGGATCATCTGCCGAGGTTCGGTTGAAGATTATTGTACTAGTGCAGTCTAGAGATGACAAGAGCCCGGATGAGGAATTGTGTAAAAAGACCTGATCTTCTTGATGTTAATTAATGCAAATCAGCATGACTGGGCTGCAGGGCTTGCGGCTGCGACTGGTTGATGTGACTTTGACACAGTTCATGACAACATACCCTGAAGGATCTACCTGTGAAGCAGGACTCAAAGCAGCAGAGTGCGGTTGCTGTGATGTCCAGTGATAGGAGGATCAGACGGTTTGGAGGCAGCGCCTGCAAGCCTCGGGGATTGTGTGTAGGTTTAGAGTGGGTTTAAAGCAGTGGAGTTACCCGAGCCTGATTGAGTGTTTTGGGGGAAAGTGCCAACGAGGACAGATGTGTCGATGATGTGTGTGAGTGTTGGCCAAAATTATTTGGACTGAACTGGCCAGGAGCAGGAGACTGTGTACACGTGTGAGAATATTGTTATGTGTGTGTGCACACGGGTGTATGCATGAATATCCATATGGTTAATCCAGCCCTGCCCTGGAGTTAAGTAAGACTGTCGGAGTTTCTGAGTAAATGTGTCATTCCCACTATGCAGTATATATATATATGTATATATGTACAGTGGTGTGAAAAAGTGTTGGCCCCCTTCCTGATTTCTTATTTTTTTGCATGTTTGTCACACTTTAATGTTTCAGATCATCAAACAAATTTAAATATTAGTAAAAGATAACACAAGTGAACACAACATGCAGTTTTTAAATGAAGGTTTTTATTATTAAGGGAAAACAAAACCCAAAACTACATGGCCCTGTGTGAAAAAGTGTTTGCCCCCTAAACCAAATAACTGGTTGGGCCACCCTTAGCAGCAACAAATGCAATCAAGCGTTTGCGATAACTTACAATGAGTCTGTTACAGCGCTGTGGAGGAACTTTGGTCCACTCATCTGTGCAGAATTGTTGTAATTCAGCCACATTGGAGAGTTTTCGAGCATGAACCGCCTTTTTAAGGTCATGCCACAGCATCTCAATAGGATTCAGGTCAGGACTTTGACTAGGCCACTCCAAAGTCTTCATTTTGTTTTTCTTCAGCCATTCAGAGGTGGACTTGCAGGTGTGTTTTGGATCATTGTCCTGCTGCAGAACCCAAGTTCGCTTCAGCTTGAGGTCACAAACAGATGGCCGGACATTCTCCTTCAGGATTTTTTGGTAAACAGGGGGCCAACACTTTTTCACCCCTTTTGTGTATATATATATATATATATATATATACAATTTTCTTTTAGCATATAATTCCAATTAAATGAGCCTTAGGGTGAATTTAAAAGTAGCTTAGAATTTTTTTTTAAACTTTTTATTGATAATATTCAATAATATTGTCAATTTCACTGCACTGACACTATCGGATGGGAACTAAATTCGAACTGAATTGAGTTGGATAATGACACTAATTTTGCTGCATCAACGCTGTTAGTGAACTGAATTGAATCAACATTGAACTAAAGTAGGCTGCGTAATGACACTATTATCTTCTGTAGAGCTGCTTCACAGCTAAATTGAATTTGTTTCTTAATTAATGAATTTTACATTAACACTTATTTTCCCGTTTACCAATGTGAAGATGCTTTGAAAATCTGTATTATATAAAACTCTATACAAATAAATGTGATTTGACTTTTGCACTGGCATCCCATAATGCACTTAGTGCTGAGAATGAAAAAGCATAGCACAGATACTGTTCCCTCAATAACACAATTATATGAAACAAACACACTGAAGAGACAATACCTGACATCTGCACTCTCGTTGCTGCTTCATTTGTCTTTTTGAGTTTCACTTGTGAGTTTATGCAATTTTTCATTGGAATACATTGGTATACATTAGAGAGTGATTTAGGAGAATTTGATCCAGGTCTAAAAGACTGCAAGAGCAAACACGGTATTGCCACTTAGATGTCTAGATGTATTCAACAACATGTTTTTATAATTTCCCTTGAGGATGTGCTTTTATGACAGCTAATGACATGGATAGAGCCAATATCAGAGACGATTACAGTGTTTATATAACAGGCATCAGATGGTACCCACTGGCTATGTGCTCCACTAATTAATGTCAGAAAGTGAGCAGCCTTAGCCTCTTAACTCAGAGAATATTCAGCATTGACTTCTCTGGCTCACCACAGTGTCATATAGAGAACCCTTCTCACACTAAAGCACAGACATGTTTTCTTGAAAAGACATGAAGGACTGAATATAAGGGTGCTGTCACACTTGGTCCAAACCCGAGTTAGATTGCCCTAAGAGCTTTTATTAAATAGGGCCAAGGGCTTTTATTAAATAACAAAACAAAAACTACCCTAACAGGGGAATACTCCGGAAAGGCAAGACAAGGCAGGAGACGACACAACTAGAAACCAACAGGACCTCAGGAACATTAGCCCCACTAAACTGAAACTAAACTAGACAGGAGTGCTGGGATCTGAACACCACACTGCGCAAACACAATCAATCACATGCTGTGGGAGGGACCAGGGAGGATCCGATGCATCGGGAGTCCTAGTGGACAGCCAGGGCAGGGCCGGAGGGACAGACCAGGGAGGCTGCGGTGGGTCAGGAACCCCAGTGTAGTGCCAAGGGTGGTGCCAGAGGGAAAGACCTGGACGACTCTAGCAGATCAGGAACACCAGCACATGGCCAGGGCGAAGCCAGAGGAGGGCAGGACCTGGACCATGGAGGCTCCAGGGCTGGAACAGATTCTAGAACTGCCTCCATGGCCGAGACAGGGAGAGAAGGCTGCAAAATAAACCAAAAAACTACTCCTAAAGGGGAAATACTCCAGCAAGGCAAGACAAGACATGACACAACTGGGAGCAAACAAGACTTCGGGAACAGTAATCCGAACCCTGAAACTAAACCAAAACTAAACTAGACAGGAGTGCTGTGGTCCGAACACCACACTCCACACACACAACATAGCACATGGACCTAGAGCACACAGCCCAAGCACACTGGAGCCCTGGCGGATGGCTAAGGTGGTATTGTGGGAGGGACCAGGGAGAATCCAGTGGGTTGGGAGTTCTGCTGGACGGCCAGGTCAGAGCCGGATTGACTGACCAGGGAGGCTGCAATGGGTCTGGAACCCCAGTGGAGTGCTAGGGTGGTGCCGGTGGGACTGACCAGGATGGCTCCAGCAGATCAGGAACCCCCACCAATGGCCAGGGCAAAGCCAGAGGAGGGCAGAACCTGAATTTCAGGGCTGGAACAGATTCTGGGACTGCCTTGGTGGCCGAGACAGGCAGAGTGGGCTGCAAAATAAAACACAAACCACTCCATAAGGGGAAATACTCTGGCAAGGCCAGGCAGGATATGGCAGGACAGGACACGACACAACTGGGAACCAACAGGACCTCGGGAATATTAGTCCAATCCCCGAGACTAAACTGAAACTAAACTAGGCAGGAGTTCTGGGGTCCGAACACCATGCTCTGCACACACAACATATCACATAGACCGCAGTTCACACATCTCTGCCCCCACACTCTGGAATTCTATTCCCAAACACATTTGTGATCTTTCTTCATTACAGGATTTCAAAACCCATCTTAAAACATATCTTTTCCTTTCTTGTTTCTCTGACTGCATGATCTGATTCATGCCATTGATTTCATGTTTATCTGTAATTTTTTTTTGTCTGCTGTCATGTTTATCTGTTTTGATATTTTAAAGTGACCTTGAGTTTGCAGAAAGGCGCTATATAAAATAAACGTATTATTATTATTATCTCAAAAACACTGGCGGATTGCCAGAGTGGAGCTGGAGCGACAGACCAGGGAGGCTCCAGCGGGTCGGGAACCCCAGCGGAGTGCCAGGATGACCAGAATGGCGCCAGCAGATAGCCAGGGCGAAGACAGAGGAGGGCAGAACCTGAACTCCAGCGCTGGAACGGATTCTGGGACTGCCTCCGTGGCCGAAACAGAGAGAGTGGGCTGCAAAATAAAACAAAAACTACCCCATAGGGTAGGGCTGTGCAATTAATCGCATGCGATTGTCATGCGCATCTCGTCAGTAAAGCCGGTTCCGTGATTGGTAGTAAATCGCCATCACCTGCTTTCAGATGGAGCGGCATTTACTACACTGAGCCGTAGTTCACTGACAATTAGGCAATATCGCGTTCATAATCGCAGATGAATCGCATTCGATTATGAACGCGATATTGCCTAGCTTGTTAGTATTTTTTTTTCTCACATTATTATTATTATTATTTTTTTTCCTTTTTTTT